GTCAGTCATCAAGCTATTTGTCGCCGTTTTTTTCAGACTTATTTATTTATTTATTTTTGTTTCGTTTTTATAGACCGACGCTCACGAGAAGTGTCTCGGAATCGGGTTTTATTAGCAAAATGAAGTCTGGGGTTAGTATTCAGTGAATTAACTTTTATAACGATGTGTTTTGTAATTGTAATTAATTGCCAAAATAGGGCCGAAATGTGGTCGTGTTTTATGGCTCCCAAACGGGAACCGCCGAAGAGTTTGCCGCCCGTCTGGCCAAAGAGGCCACGCGTTATGGTATGAAAGCGATGGTCGCCGACCCCGAAGAGTGCGATATGGAGGAGCTCTCGAAGTTGACTGAAATCGAGAACTCGATCGCCGTGTTCGCGGTGGCCACGTATGGTGAGGGAGATCCCACTGATAACGCACAAGAGTTTTACGAATGGCTCCAAAACGGTGGCGCAGATCTGACTGGTTTACGATTTGCTGTATGTGTTGTCACCGTATGTCTAGACAACCGGTGTTTTAATGTTGTTTTTAATTGCGTCCAAAAGGTGTTTGCATTGGGAAACAAGACGTACGAACACTACAACAAAATGGGGAAATACCTGGACGTGAGGCTCGAGGAGTTGGGCGCCACCCGGGTCTACGAGTTGGGACTGGGAGATGACGACGCGAAGTATGCACTTTATGGCGTATGACGTGACGTCCAAATGACTAACGATTTTTTGGTTTTGTTAATAGCATTGAAGAGGATTTCATCACTTGGAAGGAGAAGTTCTGGTCATCGGTTTGCGAACAATTCGATTTGCAGACCGGAGAGGAAGTCAGTTCCAGACAATACGAACTCATCTCCTATGACGACGACAACACTATCTCTGATGACAAAGTATTTCACGGAGAAGTGGCTCGACTTAACTCTTATGCCAATCAAAAAGCGTTAGTTTCATAAGAAGTCCTTAAATTGTTTTATTGTTTAAAAACATTTCTTTATTTCTTCAGACCCTTTGACACTAAGAATCCGTATTTGTCTCCGGTTTTGGTCAATAGAAACCTCTATAACAGCGAACGTAATTGCCTTCACATTGAGTTAGGACTTACCGGATCTAAACTGAGGTAAGGATTAACTTTTGGAGATTATTGCATACCTGTGCTGACCAACTGTTTGTCCAGATATGAGGCCGGAGATCATGTGGCCGTCTATCCCAAGAACGACACCAATTTGGTCGAACGCATCGGACAACTGCTGGAAATGGATTTGAATAAAGTGTTTGCGCTGAAGAACTTAGACGAGGACAGCTCCAAAAAGCATCCCTTTCCGTGTCCCACGTCCTACAAGACTGCGCTCACGTTCTACACCGACATCACGAGTACTCCCAGAACTCATGTGTTGAAAGAAATCTCGGAATACGCGACGAACGAAGAGGACAAGGCTTTCCTCAAGAAGATCAGTTCGCCCACCGATGAGGGCAAACAGCTGTACGCCGAGTGGGTGATCAAGAATTGTCGCTCTATTGTCCACATTCTGGAGGACTTGCCGTCCGTGAAGCCACCGTTGGATCATTTGCTGGAACTGTTGCCGCGACTGCAGCCGCGATACTACTCCATCTCGTCGTCGCCTAAATTACATCCCGATTCGGTTCACGTGACGGCCGTTGTGGTCGAGTATGAGACGGGCACTAATCGCGTGAATAAGGGAGTGGCCACCAATTGGTTGAAGGCTAAGCTGCCGGGGAGTGATAATGGCCACAAAGTGTTGGTTCCTATTTTCATACGTCGCTCGCAGTTCCGATTGCCGGCCAAACCGCAGACGCCCGTCATAATGATAGGTCCGGGCACTGGTTTGGCGCCATTCCGGGGCTTCATTCAGGAGCGCTGGCACATGAGGCAGAGCGACAAACCCGTAGGCGATACCATATTGTACTTCGGCTGCCGAAAGAAGTCCGAAGACTACCTCTACGAGGAGGAGCTCACCAAATGGGTGGCCGACGGGACGCTCACCAAACTGTACGCCGCCTTCTCCCGGGACCAGAACCACAAGATATACGTCACCCATCTCTTGAAGAATAACATGAAAGAGATCTGGAATATAATTGGCGACAAAGAGGGACACATCTACGTGTGCGGGTATGTGGACATGGATGTTGTGCATTGAATTTGATTTTGTG